TGCAAAAGCTAACCTTGGTCGCCTATCAGATTTTGATATTGAAATCCGAAAACGGTTCCAACAACCGCTCGCCGTAGAGTCGGGCGAGTTTCCCGACGCCGCCGGCATCGAGGGCAGGATGCTGCCATTCTGCTACGAGGTGGGCCTCGCCAACGGCCACACGCCCGAGGCGGCGTCGTTCATGTCGACGGCAACGGAAACGTTCATCAAGGAGGTGCTCGCCTCCATCTTCTCCAAAACGCGCAGCAACCCGCCGGGCGAGTCGGGCAGCGCCGGCCTCGGACAGAACCCGACGTGGGTCCAGACGCACCGGTACCGACGGCAGCTCGGGCGCGAGGAGAACGCGGTGCACCGCGGCGAGGTGGCGCGCGATAAGATGGGCATGCTGCCTGTCGAGTCGCGGGCGGCGAGTGAGCGCGGGCCCCTCGGCATGTCGGACGTGCGCATCGCGCTCGAGATGGCCGACAACGGGCTCGCGCAGTTCCCCATTGTCACAACGGCCATTGGCTACGGCTGGCGCGAGGGCGAGCTCGAGCACTGGCACGACTATACGTATATGCCGGACGAGTTTGACGCCGTCGGCCGCGTCATGGAGCTCGCCGACGACGGCAGCGGCCTCGACATTGTGCCGCTCGCGGGTGCCGACTTTGCGGGCGCCAACGGGTTTGGCGACGGCGACGCCATGGACATTGACGAGGAGGAGATGCCGTGGGAGGGCGGCGATGGCAAGGACGCGTCGTTTCTCGACTCGGTCCTCGATTCGTGCCTCGCGGTCGGGTCGTAGGACGGTTGGCGACCAGCACGGAGCTCGACCCTGGCGAGGGGGGCCGGCACGACGCCGCAGGATGCGCTGCTCGCGCGCGCACCGGGGGTCCGTTAACGAGGCCGTGAGTGCCAACCACCATGTCATCGGGGCGTGGGCGGTGGCGGTGGCGGCGCGTGGCATCATCATCACGATTATCAGCATCATGTTCAACATTCTCATCGTCGTTCATCATCAGCATTGGCTTCGAGAAACGGCGTAACAGGATTTCAGTCGGCAGGAACGGAGGGAAAGGGGAGGCGCTTTGATCAATTCGCTTCCGGATGCTAGCTAGCTGTGCGGAGGTGCCCTACGAGTGGACAGAGGAGAGGAGCGATGGCCAGGGAGGGGAGGGTTGGAGTTTACAGAGGGAAGACACGGAGAAAAACCGGCGGTCTGGTTCTTGTGTACTTATATAGACGATACCCGGCGATGCGTTTTCGAGGGCATTCGTGTCCCCCCATTGGCGCAACAGTGTAGTAGTAAGTTGATTCCATCCACACAGGCAAAGCAAACCAAAAGCAGCATTTTTTTTTCAGTATGTTTCACGATGACGGGATCTCTTTCGTACGAATGGCTTGGGATCTGGAAAAGTATTAAGGAGAAGATGCAGGCCGTCGGCAGACAGACCAAGACAAACGAGACACAGATCCGGAATGCAGGCAGACTGATAGCTGAAACTGTGATAGAAGTAGAAGACGAAGAAGAGGATGGGGACGAGGACGAGGACGAGGACGAGGAAAAGGGTGCGCCTCCTTCGCGACTTGCAAACCCCATTCGGCCAGCGCTCGCGAGCCTCGGTCCAGAGACCCAGAGCCCCTTAGCGGACGCAGCCAGACATCCTAGGCACCTCGGCGGAAAGTGGACGCGTCTTCCCCGCATCGGTGGGCAGGAGAGGAGCCAAGAAGCCACGGGCGAAGCGGCTGCAGGGGTGCTGGTGCGGAGGAGCTGCCGTTGGCACTGGGGCCCAGGTGCTGCTGTGCTGTGCGCTGCCTGGGTACCTAGGTAGGTACCTACCTAGGTAGTAGGACCAGCACCTTGTGGTGGTCGTTAGGGGCTAGAGAGAGGCCCACTGGAGATCGCCAAAGACCGCCTCCGCCCCCGCCATCAAACGTGGGGACGATGGAGATGGGTCACCGGATCGGCTGGAAGCCTGGCACCCAGAGCGCGCCAGGAGGCGAGAGGGCGGGGGAGGCCAGAGATAGTCCGGGGAGCCAATTGGTTTGGGGCGTTTCGTCAGATCTTGGTTGCTGTGCCCAAAGTTGGTACTTGCTCTCTGGGCCCCCCCCCATATATGACGGTGGTTGCTGGGTGTTCCCCTTTGATGCGACTTCTGGCGGCCCTCCTCGAGGAACATCTCGCTGCCGCGGAAACACCACCACCACTAGACTCCCACAGGAAGGAGGGAGATTTGCGTACATATCCAAATTGTAGGCTGAGCTGTACATATGCCACCCCTTCTTATCCATGTGCCTATCCTAACCTCATCAGTTGCACCTACCTTCCACAGACCGTACTTCCTGTTTCCAAACCATACGCCTCGAGCGAGACATCACCGCAGAGCACCGAGCCAGCGTGTACCAAACCCTGACACCCACTTCCACATCTCCCCCCAAACCCCGACAACCGACATGCCTGTCAAGTCACGCTGGGAGGAGGAGCTCCCCAACTGCTCGCTCCAGCAATGGATCTTTGGCTCCCCCTCGGCGCCCCTGCCCGACCGCAAGGCCTTCCTCGACGCCGACCGCCCGGACACGCACTTTGTCACCTTTTCCGAGTACCGCCTGCTGGCGAAGCGCATCGCTCTCGGCCTGCAGGCGGCCGGCCTCAAGCGCGGCGAGCGCGTGCTCCTCTTCTCGGGCAACAGCCTCTACTTTCCCTCCGTCTTCCTCGGCGTTCTCATGGCCGGCGGTGTCTTCACAGGCGCCAACCCAGGCTTCGTCGCGCGTGAGCTCGCCTACCAGCTCAAAGACAGCGGTGCCAGCTTCATGGTCGCCGCCGCCGCCAGCATTGACATTGCCGTCGAGGCAGCCGCAGAGGTCGGCATGCCGGGCAACCACGTCTTTGTCTTTGACACGACCATCCCAGGCCAGGCACCCGTGACGCCGCCGCGCGCCGACAGCAAGGGCACCCGTCACTGGACGGAACTGCTGGGACCGGCGGCCGAGGCCGAGGCCTTCAACTGGGTCGAACCCGAGGACAGCCGCACGACGACGTGCTGCCTCAACTACTCGTCCGGAACGACGGGCGTGCCCAAGGGTGTCGAAATCTCGCACTACAGCTACGTGTCCAACGGCGCGGGCGTCATCAAGGTGACGAAGCTGGCGCCTGACTACACGACAGCGGTCAAGCGGCACGTTGGGCTCTGCTTCCTACCCATGTACCACGCCTACGCGCAGACGTACTTTGTGGCCAACTTTGCGAGCCAGGGCGTGCCCGTGTACGTCATGCCATCGTTTGACTTTGTCAAGATGCTCACGCATATTCAGCGCTTCCGCGTGACGCACCTCGTCGCCGTGCCGCCTGTGCTCGTGGCGCTGACCAAGCACCCCGTCGCCAAGACGTTTGATCTCTCGAGCCTCGAGAACGTAGGCTGCGGCGCCGCGCCGCTGGCAGCCGAGACGGCAGCCGAGACGACGCGCGTGCTCGGCAAGCCCGACCTGCTGGTGCGGCAGGGCTGGGGCATGACCGAGGTGACGTGTACGGCCATGACGTGGGACCCGACGCGGCTGGACCGCACGACCTCAGCCGTCGGCGAGATCATGCCCAACTTTTCGGCCAAGCTCGTCGGCGCCGACGGCGTCGAAGTTACCAAGGCGCGCACACCAGGCGAGCTGCTCATCGCGGGGCCGGGCGTCATGCGCGGCTACTGGCGCAACCCGAAAGCGACGGCGGAAACGTTCGCCGTTGATGCCGACGGGACGCGCTGGCTTCGGACGGGCGATGTGGCCTACGTCGACTCGTACGGGCCCGGCGGCCTCTTCTTCATCGTCGACCGCATCAAGGAGCTCATCAAGGTCAAGGGTAACCAGGTGGCGCCTGCCGAGCTCGAGGCGCTGCTGCTCGAGAGGACAGACGTGGCCGATGTGGCCGTCGTAGGTGTGACCATCGAGGGTGAGGAGATGCCCCGTGCCTACATAGTCAGAACGCCAGGGTCCGAGACGTCGGGCGAGGAGATTGCGACGTGGCTTGAGAAGAAGGTCTCCAGGCACAAGAGGCTTCGAGGCGGTGTTGCCTTTACGGATGTCATTCCCAAGAACCCGGTACGTCCGCTGATCCTTTTGCTGACCGTCCTCTCTGCCATGGCATGATGATGTTCGTTTTTACTGACGTGGTCTCGTATGCCTAGTCTGGCAAGATCCTGCGGAAGATCCTTCGCGAGAAGGCCAAGCAGGAAGTGGGTGACCGCGACCCAGCGACATCGAAGCTTTCATAGGAGGCATGTTTTCAGGAGCTTCGAGTTTGGGAATGCCGCATGATTGCTGAAAGGAAGCAAGGCGCTGGTTGGAGGCTGGCATAGAATTGTGAAGGATGGCGAAGGACAGGTACCTAGGGAAAGGCTGGCGAGGAGATGGCAAGGCTGCAGGGAGAGAGACGGCCATGGCAAGAGCAAGGATCAGTAGCTCATCGCGGGGAAAGCACGGACCCTTCTACGCAAGTTCCCAGGCCATGCCCGGTCCTTTGGGCAGGCACCTCCAGTGGACGTCCCACGATCCACTCCATGCAGAAATGTACGAATCAGGAAGCAGAAAGCTCTGACGCCGCGACTTTACGTGTTTCTGCTCGCCTCTCTGCCTGCTCGGACCACAGACCAAACCACCACGACCCAGCCATCCTCCCTGCTCCCTGCTCCCTGCTCCCTGCTCCCTAAGACTACCATCTGCTCCTGGCTCCCTGTTTCTATTTCTTTTTTGCAGCCTGATCTAAACACCCTTGGCAGCTCTTCCTCTCCCAATGGCCTGCTAGGTGCCCGAATCAACTGCACGAAAAATCCTTCAGAGACTGCAATTTTTCCCTTTTTCCGACGTTTCCTTCTTCAATCGCGCGCACTTCCTTTCTCCCATCTCAACGACGCTCTTCATCGCACCCATTGACGCCCATCATGACGTCCAGAAACGCCTTTCACGAGTCTCTGCCATGTAGGAACACACCTCGTCCCAGACTTGTTCGCTCCCTGGTCATGATCGCAACCGACTAACCATCTCGCCGTCCGCAGACATCGACACGGAGCCGACCGCCGCCCAGCGTGCCGACGCCGAGTCCCAGATCGCCACCGAGCTCTCAACCGCCGGCCCGCCCCCGCCCTCCTCGACCCTCCTACCGCCGCTGCCGCCGTCCAAGCTCTCGCCGCTCATGGCGCAGGAGCTCGACCGCGTCGCCGCCCAGCAGCCCCTCGCCGCCATCGACCTGAAGCGCTACGAGGCCCAGGAACCCCTCGCCGCCCCGGGCGCCGAACCCGCCCCCGCCGCCCTCGCCGAGACGCTGCGCAAGGCCTACACCACCCACACCTACCTCACCGCCCGCGTCGAGAACCTCGAGCTGCTCGAGCGCTGGGGCCGCAACGCCTGGCTCGTCGGCAACCACCGCCTCGAGGGCCAGCTGCGCGCCCTCGAGAAGGACCTCGCCGACGCAAAGGCCGACATTGACGTCCTCACCCTCGCCCGCCGCCGCGCCCAGGATGACGTCGCCGCCGAGGTGAAGGGGCTCGACGAGGCCTGGCGCTCCGGCGTCGGCCGCGTCCTCGAGACCGAGATTGCCGTCGAGGCCCTGCGCCGCCAGGTCCTAACCGAGATGGAACGCAAGGCCAAGGCCTAGTGTCGGTCAGCTTGGTTCGGCCTTAGCTTTGGCCAGCTTATTCGCACATGACACGATCGATGCTACTTTTGAATTTTGAGCAGTTGCTCACATGACGTCAACGTATGAGATTCTCGAACTTCTTCTATGGGACAAACTGTTGGAAAGGGAGTGGGGGCGGATGTGACCGAGAAACAGGGGAAGGAGGACGGGGGGATTGATTCGCTCTGTACGATAGCAGTTACAAGATACCCACATCGGGCGGCAGTCCCCGGACGTAAAATTTTACTCAGTGCAACATGAATCATGATAACTTGATAGTGCTCTTCCCACCAGGTATCTGGACGTCATACATCCCGTGCCTCTTAGGAAACGAAGGTTAAAAAAAAGGGGGGGGGGGGTGGGAAGAAGGTCACCCAGGTCCCGAGCAACGCCGCTGTCATCCGTCCTTTCCACGCACAAATGTTCTTCCGTGCAATCCTCCGGCTGCCCCATTCAAGAGGCTTGCAGAGGATCCATGTCCTCGACACCCGTCTCGATCCCTTGATATTGCGTCCTCCGAAGCAGGCCTTCCACCGGGCCGAGCAGCCTTGCAAAGGCCTTCTTGCCCAAGCTTGCCACCTTGACCTCGGATGTCGCGACTACACTAGCAGCACGCGGGGCATCGTTCATCAGCGCCAGCTCGCCGAAAAAGTCTCCCTTGCTGTAGTGTTTCACCGAGCCCTCAATATCTGTCTTGTATGCGTCTGCTTCGCCCGATTCCAACAGGTAGAACGCATTGCCGGGATCTCCTTCCTTGATGATGGTTTCTCCGGGTCCAAACTTTCGAGTCTCGAGCGCGTCGGCAATCTTGGATCGCTCATATGGTGTGAGGCTCGAAAGAAGAGGTACTTCTTCAAGGAAGCTCTCGTACATGCGCCTCCTTGAAAAGGTGGACTCCATGAGAATCCGACGGAAGGTCAGGCGATCGAGGGCCCACAGTACGCATCCCGCCTCGGCCGAGATAACTGTCGCCGCTCGTGGGGCATTGTACATGAGAGCCAGTTCACCGAAGGAGCCTCCGGCTTGGATCGAGCCAACCTTCTGGCCCATGCCCTCTGGACCAGGTTGCAGAGCACCGCTGCTGTTGACGTAAAAGTCAAAAGAGCCCTTTTCGACAATGTAGAAAAAGTCGCCTGCGTCGCCTTGACTAATAACCTTGACGAGGGTCAGCACAAACTACTGCGGTCATTGTGGGCTGCCTCGGTAACATACCTTAATGTCTTTTGCCGGGATTGGCTTCTCATTAAGCGCCCCCAAGATCTGGGCGCTGGAGTCATCTTCTAGGTGGCTGAAAAGGAAGTTGACTTCCATAGCTTTTTGCAAGCGGGAGAGCTGCTCGGGTGTCTTCTCGTGGTAGGGAGGTGTCCAGTTGCTTTCGGTTGAGTCTGCTGACGGCTGCAAGGACTCGGCCGACACTGAGGTGCGGCGGCCAAAGTTGTACTCGGCAGGATAATTTTCGGGGTTAGGAGGGCTTCGAACGGTCGGAGGGCCATCGAAGGGCGCGTCGCCAGCACCGCCGAAGGGACTGCTGTTGCCAAAAGGACTAGCATTGCCAAAGGGGCTGCGGAAAGCTTGAGCAGAGGCACCAAAGCTCGGGGACGTTGGTGAGGCGATCGTGTCTGCTTCGTCCTCCTCAATCACTCTGTGCATGACGTTGCTGCCAGCGGCGGGTGACGCAGCGCGAGCGCCAAAAGGGTTGGCGTTGGCCCCGAAGGGGCTGGCGAACGGGGCAGACATGGTCTGGGGTGCAGGCGTCGACTCGACAGACGTGTACTTTGTGTTTACGCCGACACTCGGGGGCGTAGAGAAGTGTTCGGTATATTCTCTTTCGGGGCTGAGGCGCCTGGCAAAGTAGTTCGCGCAGAATTGAAGGATATCGGTGGGATGACGTTGAAGCACGAGTTGATCGAGGGCCTTGATCTCAATTTGGTAAGCTTCAGGTAGCGACATGTTGGAATTGGGTATTGCGTAGGGAATCAGTGATAAGAAGAGGGGGAGGGTTGACAGGTGCTGGGGGTTGAAATTCAAGAATTGACGTTGGCGGCGGTGCATAAGAAGGAAGTTATCGTGAGAAGGACAAAGAATGCTGCATCGTGACCATCGGTGGGGGGGATATTGCAGGTGTCAGACCAAAAGAAATTGCGGGTTCGATATTTACCTGTGCTTGAGGCTGTCTCTGCGTGACCAGTCTGTCTCAACGCTGCAATGACTGCTCCGTGATTGTTAGCGGCGGCGCTTATTGAAGCTGGTGTATTGCAATGATGTTCAAGGAGATTCGCCGGGGAGGGGGGCGAAGTTGCTCTCAGAATCCGGGGCTCGATGCCAAGGAAGTTAAGAGTAGCGCTGCGCGAGAAGGGAGGAAGGAAAGGTCGTCGACATGAACATCCCATGCTCCCCGGCTTCGAAATGTGGAATCAAGAAAACAAAGGCAAGGGGACGGGACAGTGCGGCATGGGACGATGGATCATCCACCAGCAGCGTGTCATGGAGGGTTGACTCAGACGACAAGGTCTTGGATACCACGGCTGACTTACCAAAATGAGCAGATGGGAGAATCGGGCCTTTATAGGAAGATGCAACTGCAGGTCCAGCAGGGCGGTTGAATGTTGGCTCCCGAGGTTTGAGACCGTCGTGCAGGATCGTCAAGCCGTAGGTAGACAGGAGCTCGAGTGACAAGACGCCGAAGGATCGAGCTCGGGGTGGTGGGTGTCGGAGAGAGCGAGGGAGAGAGCGAGGCAAAGGGGCGAGAATGGAGAAACTGTAGCTACAGAATCCTGCCAGATGCAGATGCCGGCCGGGACGTCGTCGGAGGCGAGCCTGTGTGACAAGAGGAGGCCAGAGAGATGAGGGAAGAGATGGAACGGGCGGGTTGGTTTGGCAGCAAACGGTCAGGACTGCAGAGTAAGTATGGTTGTGTAGACAAAGGGGGTTTGCGGAGGAGAGAAGGGGGGAAACAGCACAGAAATGGCTGGCCTGGGAGGTCGCTGTATGACACAATAAGAGGATGGAGGGTGAGGGCAGGAGGTGAAAGACGAGGAGCAGGAGTGACGGGATGGAGAGGGAGGGGGAGGGGAAGGCTCGAGTGGGGACGCTTGTGAGAGTAAAAGGCAACAGTGAAGTACCCTGGACCAGGGCTACTGGCTGCTGCACAGGCCACACATCTGCCACTGGAAGGCATCGGTGCACCAGGACCCCTCGATGCCCCGTGCGCAGGGAGCAAGAAGCTTGTCGGCAGCCAGTCAGAGCCGCCGAACTTTTCTAGAAGACGCACACGCCACATGCTGGTCTGATGCTTTCCGCAGATGGCCCGAGCTCCGTCGTTCCAGTGTGCTTCGTTTGCGGATTCCATGCAGCAGGAGAGGCCCAAGCTTCCTTCCGTTTTCTATCCCATGCCGGCAATGCCTGCCTCCGTGATCTGTCACTGTCTCTTGCCCTACTGTTGGTGCTTTGCCCTGCTCCAGGCAGCACATAATAGATTCCACTGCACTGCATCATGATCACGCGGGCTCTCAAAGATACATGCCCATTCCAACGCATCGGGTCTTTTGCACGTGCAAAGCTCCATCCCACCTTCCTACCTAGCTGGGGCTTGGGGGCCAGCTCAGACAAGACGCCTCCGCAAGTAGGTCAATTTTGGAAAAGGTCGGACTCCGAATACGACGCAAACGGTCAACAATACAATAGATAATCTTGGTATAGCCTTGATTGCTGAAACAGGCAGGGCATCTCTCTACCGCGTACAGCATCCAAAGTACTCACGCCGCGAGACGCCGGACGTCCACCCCAGTATCTACTCGGCTTTCGCTTCAGCTGTCGCCATCTTTCCGACTCTATTCCAACTGCTCAAGCTCCCTCAGCGAAAGGCTCTCTTACAATCAAGGCCCGCGAGCTGCTGCTCATGGTAGTTTTTGCCCTGGTCCAGACGCTGCCTGTCTGTCATGAAAGAGGAGTCCTTGCCTCGAGTTGTGAAATTCCTGTCCAGGGACCTTAGAATGGCGTGGTTCTCCAGACTTTCATCAGGCATGATGACGCCTGCTGAAGCAAAAGGAGCATATGAGGCTGGACTGTGCCCTATGTCTGGGGTCCTGGACGGTGGACCAATTGGCCCCCAGACACAGGGAGTGATATGTGAAGGACGCTGTTGAACTGCTGTGATGTGGCCTGCCGAGTTTGGGTCAGCAACCGCCTGTGGGCTACCGCTATCTCGGGATAATGTACGAAGACTGCCATTTGTCACATAGCCCATCCTATACTCTCGAGCCCGAGAGGGGCCCGTCTCTGTCGTGTCCAGCAGTCCTACGGTCGCAGACTTCGATACGTCTCGATGTCGCCATGCAGCTAAGTGTTGAGGCCGGTAGGCTGTCGTCAGGTTTGCTTTGCTCTGATCTGCTCCGGCCACGGCACCGCGGCATTGTTGCTCACCTCCGAACACGGCGCCGCTAGGGGCTGAAGTAACTTGGACGGAATCATCAAAGTTGCGACCACTCACAGTCAGCTGTCGTCGTTGCAACTTGGCCTGCTGCTTCCTCCACCATGTCGGGAGCCCATGGAATAAGCCCAGGCTATGTTGCGTGGCCTTGTCGAGCGGCATCTCATGCTTATACCTGCAGCCTTGCTGCGTAAAGGCGCAGACTCCCTCGTGCACCCACTTGTCGCAGTAGACCTTGGTCCTCTTGGGACCGGCTGGCGAGCATGCTACGATGGTATCGATGGTCTCCTATCGCAAGGCTGATCGTCAGCACAACGACCAGGGCCAGGCACGGAATAAACTGCAAGCGCGGCACGTTGCACATCACACTGAACGTTACCTGAATGGTATCCGTAACTGGTTCGGGAGACGGCGGGGGTGTCTATGCCGTTCAGTCACCTTCAAGCGCGCTCAACCTGAATTAAGGAAAGCCGTCATCTCACCTTCAACGTGACAGGCTGCACATTGTTTGACGGGCCTCGGACAGGCTCAGCGCCTGGGAGCGGTAGCACCATCATCCCCCCAGAGCCCTGCTGTATGGCAGGAATGCCCAATGCTGGCGGCAGCATGTCTGCCGGTATCAACCTGGTATAGTTTCCATTGCCCCTGTCCAAGCAATATGCATATATGCCTGGCGGCTCAGTCTTGTCGCGATCCTTGAGCCAGCTTTCTGGTCTACAGTCAACGCTTGTGGCCGGGCTGGGGCTGAGGGGTGAGAATTGTCCATTCGAGTTTGCTGACGCCAGTTGCCAGTCATGCAATTCGAGACATTGTGGTGTGCTTTCCACCACTGGTTTGGTGGACCTGCTCACGTTGGTAGGCGATGCACGGCCGTCTCGGTCATCTCTCCTTGGCGCTTGATGGTGCTGGTGGGCTAACTTGTGCGTATCTGTCGCCATCATCCGACGATGCTGATCAGTCGTCCTGGTGATCAAGTGCTCGCCCATGAGTCTGAAGTGTGCGTTCTCGACCGTACAAGAGTTCTCGTCGCCTGAATGATGGAAAGCCTCGTCTTCACAAGACGACATTCACGGCGACGGTGCGGTAAAGCGAGATGACAGGGTCGCGAACGCTACCTCTGTCAGTGGCGGATCGTATGTAGGGGAGACGCACGCCGGGCTTCTCCAGGGCGAAGATGGAGGAAATGTGAGAGGAATACGGGTGTAGAAGAAGTGGATGGGTTGACGTTGGAGGAGCGAAGGGACACAAGTCGCTGCTGCAGTGGTCTGTTTTCTGCATCAACTGCAAACCGTCTTTCACCATGCCGCCCGCTGCGCAAGCCACAGCTCTGCGTCAGTGCTTTGTTGCTCCCGTGCAGCTTCTGACCGCGGCTGCTTGACCTGCTTGACGAACGCCGCCAGGAGAGGTGCTGAGCAGAGTACCGAGACAAATATCGTGTTGGCCGCGGATAACGAGGCATAAGAGGAAGCATGGGCAAAGTGAAGGGAAGGGGGTGTGGCTTGGACTGCGATGCCCCCCTCCCTCCACGACCGAACCAGAGACGCCCGTTTGTGTTCTCACAGCTGAACCTGTTTCTCTGACCGAGCCAGGTGGCTTGGGCCACCGTTTGCCCGATATCAGTCCAGATTTGCCACGATGAGGCGGATAGCTGCAGTTACTGATTTGTGCCCCTACACGTGACAAACAGGGTGGGCAATGGCCAGCCGCTGGCTACAGTTGCATCTGATAGGCCTTTCATGGTCATGAACATCCTGAGCTGGTGAAGTCGTCTTCATGTTTGTAAATCCATCATGTGTGTAAGCTAGTATGATGGACGTCTGTCTTGTGCCCCTCTTGAACCTTTTATGAACCTTTTATGAACCTTTTATGAACGATAGCCCATGAGGTTTTCTGCAACCGAAGACGTATTCTGTCGTCCTTTCCGTAATTGAAAGCTAGATTGAGGCCATATTCAACCGCATATAAACGAAGAGCTAGCCTGTATCATATTTCCGATGAGCTATTGCTTCATCTCCCTGGTCATACCGGTATCGACAGCAAGCGCTGCTTGAGCTCATGTTGCTCGAGGGCGACGAGGGAGTTATCTGGCATTTGCGCAAGTTCATCTAGAGCCATCCGGATCTGAGTCTCTGTCAACCGTCTGCTGCAGGCCGATGTCAGATGGTCGCCCAGACAGCCTGTACACTTCATGTCCGCAAGGGTAGTCTTTGTTGGTTGTCTCTTGGGGGGACCGCGGTGCGGTGGTATTCGTGTAATCATTTGCTTGGAGACCTTGAGAGCCGCTTCAAGGGTTAGCCCTGGGATCTTGGTCTTGTAAGCCATATCCGGAAGAGCGGGCTTGGTCGCTTCGGAAACCCGGGGGCTTGGGAACGTGGTTTTCACGATCGCCTGTCGTGCATGGCCCTGCCACGGATCATGAGAGGCTTGTCCTGTGCCGCTTAGCCTTCCTTGGGTTTGTGGATGAAAATTTTGTTGCGGTAGTCCCGGGGACTGATTTGGTGGAAAGTTGAAGAACGGAGACTGGTGCTGGTTATGCTGGTCATCTTGTCGAGTGTTCTGATATGACGGCCCTGCTTGGAATGGCGCATTACTGGACAGAATCTTCTGGCCAGGCACGAAAAGGGCGGTTGAGGCCCAAAGAGGGCTAATGCCGTTGTGGACTCGGGGGTTGTTCTGGTGAGTAACGACTTGTGGTCGATTCGAGAGTATTGTGTTCTGCACCGCAGGCTGCTTCGAATCCGAGTTCTTGGCCTTGGGGTCTTTGGCGCGCTCTCCTTGTGGTGTGTCCGTCTTGCGCGGCCGACCCCTTTTCTTGCTCCCGACAACGACAACTGGCGGTGCTGGAGCGGCGTCTGGGATGGTGACATGTTAGCAAGAATATCGGCATGTAGTTATTGGAGCCCGGATCAAGGAAATCCTACCGTTTACAATGGCAGCTCTCCGGGGCATGATGCCGGCGAGGTCAGTGATACCAACATCCGGAAATGCTTCGTTTTCACCTGCACTTTCTTCGTCTTCATCCGTATCAGCGTTAAAGTCGCCATCGACATCAGAACCGTCCAGCTCGGTACGTCCTGCGGCATCATTCGCCTCATTAGTGCGATAGTTGATGGCCTGGAAATCATCATGAGTTATGTGTGTTGTACGCAAGACATGGCAAGTATAGACTCACTGTTCGACGTCGCCCTCCCCGTCCCAACACCACCTTTTCCGCCTCTGCGAGTTTCTGCGCCACGGCTTCACGTTCGGCCAGAATGTCTTCCCATATACTTGGGTTAAGGGTGGGGTCCTCGTGTTCTGCCATGTCATCCTCAAAAGTCCCTTTGTCATTGGCCCAGACTTTGGCAAAAGAGAACTGCGACTCGCCTGAGCCGCTTTCATCGGGTTTGGCCTGCTCGATCTGCGTGCGGTCGAGCAACTTGTCCACACTGGCGTCATCGTATCGAATAATATCTTTCTGGTCCTGCTCGTCGCTGAATAGGGCCGAGGCTCCAAACTTGAGGATTGACTCCAGATCATCGCCTGCGTCGTTCTCGTTGTCCATGGATTCGATGAGAACATGGTCCAAAGCCATCTTTTTGCGTCCGATCTGCATGATCTTTTCTTCCACCGAGTTCTTTGTCATTAGCTGGAAGCATAGTACTTTGTTCTTCTGGCCAATTCGGTGTGCTCGAGAGAGAGCTTGCAAGTCCTGGTGTGGGTTGAAATCAGGGTCTAAGATGATGACTGTATCGGCTGTGGCAAGATTGATGCCGACACCTCCAGCTCTGGTCGACAGTAGGAAAGCAAAGACGGGCGAATCAGGCGCGTTGAAAGCGTCGATACGTCGCTGCTTTTCTAAGCTGGAAATGGAGCCGTCCAGTCGCCGGAAATCGTACCCTCGTCCAGTGAGATAATCCTCAACAATGTCAAGCTGGTTGAGAAACTGGCTGAACAGCAGCACGCGGTGGCCACGTTCTTTGAGCTTGGGTAGCATGATTTCAAGCAGAAGAAGCTTGGCTGAAGCAGAGATGAGGTTGCGCTGCGTGACTATGGGGTCGTCTGACCTCTCCTCGATGGCTTGGCTGTAGATGAAAGGGTGACACAGACATTTGCGAAGCTGCATTAGAATGTTGTTGAGGCTGCCGCGGTCTTTCGTCTTCTTGATTTTGTCGTCTGCAAAGATGGCCTTGATGAGCTCTGGACTTTTCGCCATGATCGACTTGCAGAGCTTCTCCTGGAGAATCGTCATGGAAACCGGCAAGATGATCTGCGCCATGGGCGGCAAGAACTTGAGCACTTGCGCCTTGGTGCGCCGCAGGAAATACGGGCGGATCTTCTCGTGTAGCTTTGGCAGGTTGGTTGCGTTCAGCTCGGCATACTCTTCATCAAGCTTGGCAGCGCTGTGCGCCGTGTCGACGAACTGCAGCAGATTGAAGAGTTCTCGCTTGTTATTCTGCAGGGGCGTTCCCGTCAGAAGCAATCGAAAGGGGAAGCTCATCGATTTGAGGGCGAGGTAAAGCAGGTTTTGATCGTTCTTCAGTCGCTGGCCTTCATCAACCACAAGTCCAGCCCACGACACTGAGCGAAACAATGACTTTGTCCGGTCATCTTGGGCCGAGTCGTAGGACATGACGACAATATGTGCCTTCATATCTTTGGCGCCGTCAGGAAAGAGCTCATACTTGTAAGCTAAGTCTTGCGCTTGGCGTCCTCCGTGGTAGGTAACTACACGCAGATCAGGGGCCCAGAATTTTATCTCGCGACGCCAGTTGGGACATGTCGAGTTGGGCACCACCACCATGAATGGCCAACACTACCATTTTCGTCAGTGTCGCGACCTGCATTGAGACCCGAGGAAAACATACCTGTGGGCTATCCTGGATCAATGTCGTGATCAGGCTCACCACTTGAACAGTCTTGCCGAGGCCCATCTCGTCTGCCAGAATGACATTGCGGCCAGTGTGGTAGCTCGAAAGCATCCAGTTGACACCCTCTTCTTGATACTTCATGAGTTTTCCTCGCTTGATGCCACGAGGCTGTGCCTTGAGTTCGACAAACTCCTTACGCTTCCAAGCTCTCACTCGCTCTTGCATCTTGGGTCCGACGCCAGGAGCGAAGTACTTTCCACAGAGATACTCCTCATAGGCCTCCTTGAAAGCCTCATAAGGACGACCGGATTCAGGGGGAGGAGGAGAATCCCACACTGCGTCATCATAGCCAAGTCCTTGGAACTTGACGAATATCTTGGAAACCTTGTGAATGCGCGCCATCTCGGCAGCTTTACTTGACGCTTGGGTATCGGCCTTGGCGTACAATATAACATCTGCCAAGAGATACTCTTCAGGGATGGCGTCTTGCTCGTTCATCCTGAGAAGGCTTCGTTCGGCATCCCGCTTGGCGAATGTGGTTCTCATAGCGCCGGCAGTGATCCCATGCACCCAAGCACCAGGCATCCACGTGCAGTGGAAGTAAGAATGGTCGGCCCACTTCACAAGATATTCCTTGCCGTCTTCGGGCAAGCTGCTGAAGTCCGGTGCAGCTTCGCCGTCTTCGATGGCCCCTTCCTCCTTGCCCGTTGGCCGCCAGGCGACGAGAACATGGACTTTGTCCTTGCGTAGGCTGCAGGCCTCGCACTTCCAGTCAATGGAGTAATCTGCAAGGCGCTGCTCACGGGTACCAGCCACATCGGACTCCGTACGCGACGATGGGAGGTGCTCAAAATGCCAGCCACGTTTGCAAGTCGTGCAGCGAAACAAGACAAGTTCCGAGTTGTTGACCAGATTGGGTTCGACCTTGGTGATGGGATCGACGCCACCGTTGTCCTGCCGTAGTTTCTCCTCCTCCCTCGCGGTCTTCTTCTTTGAAAAGGGCTTGCAGGCCTTGCCATCTTCTTTGCATGATTGACACATTGCATGATGCGGAGCGTTCGCGTCCTTCTTCCTGTAAATGCCTATGCACCATTTGCACTGCAAGACGAAGCTATCGTCGCCGACCTTGGTCGCCATGTGGTCGCGTTGCGCGCGTGAATTGATGCAACCCTTGTGGAAAGACAGCGAACATCCCTGGCAGCCAATCATTTGACCTTTGCTGGAGACTGAGCCCTGGTTGCACACGTCACAGACACTGACGTGGTACTCCGAGAAGTCAGAGTCGGGCGGCAATGGCTTGAAAACTTCCTTGATGCTGATGACTTTGGGTGCTGTGGTAGTCTTGCCCTCTTCGGCCGAGGACAAGTCATCATCCATCGCCGTAAGGTCTGTCATGTTTTTGGTGTTTCTCGTTGACCTTCCCGAACGGCGCCGGTCATCTTCGAATTCGATAGAGGAATCTCGAGAGCTGCGTGCCGCGTAGTTGGATCGAGACGGCTTCAGCCTTTTGAGACTCTTTCTTCCTCGGCCTGTCCTTGGAACCACATCGGAAGTGATGAGCTGAAAGTCGTCGTCTTCTCCGTCTGATTGGTGGAGCGAGTTTGCCAAAGCGAGTTCATCATCATCGTCACCGAAAGAGTTGCCATTTGCGAATGCCATTTTTGTGAGCTTCAATTGCCTCGGCTGGCGATCGCGAAGCTGGCGAGCGGGTGGTGCCGGCGCAGTGGCCTCGTCCTCGTCGCTAGAGAAAGGGATAGTACGACTCGTACTTGCACGAGCCGAGGTTCGTTGTCGTTTGTGAAGCGTACGCATGCGCTCCTCATCGTCGTCATCGACGTCCATCGTGTCGTCAAGGGATCCGGATGAAGCACTGTCTTCTTCGGTACCATCCTCCCAGGATCGCTTATGGGCGGTCCTTCGACTCATCTTGAAAATGTCCTCTGGGGTGATCCCAGCATGCCAACGTCGCAATGCGGTCTTGCCGCCGTGCTGCGCTGCAAGGTCTACTTCAGATACCTTGAGAGAGATGTTAGCAGTCGCGCATTTGGTGTTGAGGGAAGATCAAGTTTGAAGAGGTTGGGGAAGGAGAGAAAGCCGAGTCAGCCCGACCTGACCTGCACATGAAGAAGGCAGCTGTGCAAGTGAGAGCTGCCGAGGATAATTGGCGGGAACTGTTCTGGATAGGAAAGGGTCAAGAAGCGTTGAGAGGCGCATCAAAAATGCGGCGCCTTCCTAACGAGACAAGAAAGAGAGGCGCAATCGATAGGAAGGGTTGAAGATATTGAGAGCGCAACGCAAGGTAGAGAGTAGACTTTTGCGTTGACTTACAAGATGTTGCCTGCCGTCTGTGTACTCAATTCTGTAATAAGGGTCGTATGGCTGTTCTGCAACCTCCTCGTAGACAAAATCCACCCGGTCACTGCGGACCTCTCGATAGTGCGCACGCTCTTCTGGCGACAATTCTGGTAATACAATCTCAAACCGAACCGGTCGTATGCGCTCGGGGGCCGTCGTTCGCAGCGAGTCTGCCTGGGAATCCCGCGTTTCGGAGCTGTGTCGGTCCGATACGTCTGGCTGTAGCTCATCCTGTTGGGCCTCCTGCGCAAGAGGCGCAACAGGTTCTTGAGACGTCGCGTCGAGCACCTCCTCTTCTTCATGTTCGGCGCTTTCGGGAAGAAGATGGGCGAGGGCCTCGTCCGACACGTCTTCGTTCGCATGGGTCTCGAACTCGTAGGCTTCGGGATTCTCGACAGATTCCAAAACGTCGGCAGCGCTCTCCTCGGAGGAGCTGAATTCCGGCTCTGGAGTTCCGAATACCAAGGTGCCCTTCCAAGTGGAAAGAGCCACAGACTCGGAACCGCTGTCGGTCTCCTCCATGGCGAAGCAGCAGGGCGTTCGTCGATGTCATTGGTGATGATGGGTGATGGGCGGGCAACGGCAAGCCTACGAGTCGAACGGCTTTGGCGTGCGGCTATTGGCATGACATGGTTTCGAAATGCGACGCGCGCAAGTCACCGGCGTGCGTACAGAGGTGTGGTTCGTATTTGGCCCTTAGCGGTCGATGTATAATGCATAGATAAAAAAAGGCTACTTCTGCCACGGCCAGGGCAGTGCCAGGAAGACGCGGTTGCCGTTCGTTTGCCGTTACTGGGCACGCGTTATCCTGGACAATCCATTAAGCTCCCGTTGCCCCACTTTCCCTTTTGTACGGCACCTACCTACCTCGTACCTGCCTGCCTGCCTACCTAGGTACCTTAGGTACCTAAGGTAGGTAGGTACCTAGGTTCCGAAGCCAGGCAAGGTACAGACAGGGTTGACAAGGCACGCCAACAATCAAGCGTGTCTCGGGCTGACCGCCTGGGATCCTCGACAGGGGAGGGGCAGGGGGCCAGACGGCAGAAAAAGTACGAACCATCAATGCCATCTACCTGAACTTTCGAGACGACCTGGGTTCAGCACTGTACACACCCGCCCTTCCCTCACCCCTTTGGCTTTGCAATCCTCGCCATCACAGCATGCAATGAGTCTTCTATCAAGATGGAGCACGGTTGCTTCGTCCACACACGGCGCCAGGCCTGCGCTCCGCTGTCATTTGTCTCTCCCCAACACCAACACCCGCCAGCAGTCCTCCTTCTCCGCCGTGTGGCGCGGCCTTCGCACCGAGCGATCTGGTCGTCGTGAACCTGGTTCCTCAGGCCGCGGCCGCTCTTCTGGTTCTCGATCTTCCGACTTGCCGGCAGCGCGTCGACCGTCTCGCCCTCGAGATGGAGGTGGCCCCAATGGCAAGGTCGACTTGGCCGCCACCAGCCTGGGCGGCGGGCGCACGCACTACAAGCCCAAGAAGGCGCTGCAAAAGATGAGGGAGAGGGAGGAAATGGACACAGAGGGCGGTCGCAAGACGCGCAGCAAGCGCTTCAACAACCCCGAGTACTCGTTTGGCAAGAAAAGCCTGGTGTATCAGCTCAACAAGGGCGATTTCCAGGACAAGATCTCCAGACTGGTCGACGCGAAACGGACCGGGTCCGGCACGGGGGCCGGCACGTCGGAGAGGAAAGATGTGCGAAGCGAGGAGGATCCATGGAAGCGTATGTCCAGCTCGACCGACGACAGGCAGCAAGCCCGCAGGGGCGCCTCGGGCGACCGGCGACCGCGGAATGCACAGCCTTGGCCGGCCCGGGACGCGGCCAGGTCAGAGGGGCCTCGACGAGACGACGGTGCCTTCAGGCGCATGCGCTCGACCTCTGATTACACGCCGCGCGAGCGGCGATCCCCAGCTGCCGGCCGCAGCTTTGGGCACTCGGACGTAACCAAGCAGCGCGCCAGGGACGAGCTGCGCGAGGAAGACGACGACGCCTTTTCGCACCGGCCGGCGTTCAAGGGACGGACAAACAACTTTGCGGCGACCCTGCCGCAGTCGACGGCCGCCTCACAGTTCCTCTTTGGCCGATGGCCCGTCACCGCGGCGCTGAAGGAGGCGCGGCGCAAGCTGTACCACCTCTATGTCTACGCCGGCAGCAGCAGGAGGGACGCCAACGATCCCGTTCGCACGCTCGCCCAGAAGCACGGCGTCCGCGTCACCGTCGTGCCCGAGTCGGAGCAGCACATCATGGACAACATGAGCAAGGGCCGGCCGCACAACGGCCTCGTCCTTGAGGCCTCACCTCTGCCGCAGCTCCCGCTCGTCAGTCTGGGCCCCGTCACCGAGGACGGCTACACGGTCGAGATTGCGCACCAGATGAGGGAAGACGCAGAGATCAACGGCACCGAGCCCTTCCAGGCCTGGGACTCCCGGGCCGGGCACAAACCCTTCGTGCTCCTGCTGCACGAGGTCATGGACCCGGGCAACCTGGGCGCCATGCTGCGGACGGCGCGGTTCCTCGGTGCCGCAGCCGTCGTCATCACCAAACAGACGTCGTCACCCATCACGCCGACAGTCGTCAAGGCGGCGGCGGGTGCCGCCGAGGAGCTGGCCATCTTCTCCGTCGCCGACCCCGTCGCGTTCCTCGAGGGGTCCCAGAAGGCCGGCTGGGAGTCGTACGTGGCCGTCGCACCGGCGTCGGGCAGCAGCAACAGCGCCAGGCAGCAGGTGACGGCCGACGAGCTGGCCGAGGAGGACCCCCTGCGGGAGAAGCCGTGCATCCTGGTCCTCGGCAACGAGGGCGAGGGCCTCTCGCGAAAGATCATGTCGAGGGCGAGCCGCCAGGTGACCATCCAGCGGCAGCCGGCGGGACGCAGCTCCGTCGACAGCCTGAACGTCAGCGTGGCGGCGGCGCTGCTCTGTGACGCCTTCACAAAGGGTGCGCGGGCTGTGCCGAGGAGCTTCCAGCAGAAGCTCAAGCTAGACGAGAAGAGGGCGCGCGGCGGTGAGTCTCTTTTCTGAGGCCCATGCCCCGGGGCCTGTGTATACAATGTACTTTTACCTGTCAGAAGCTTCTGTCTCCTTTTTTTTTTTTTTGTTTCCCAAAAAATATCATGGCGGCATATGGTGGCGAGGACTATCATGAGCAAAGTGTCACTGTACCCCAACGTTTGTAACAATATCGAAAGCCACTTTCAAAGCCCCTTTTATTCCCTGTACGAGCTGTACTTTGTGACGTGTGATGTACAAGATGGCCAGTCAGTCGAGAGAGAGCACACAGACATCAGCCAGCCAGCCAGCTCCAGACCTGAACGACACGCCACGCGGCAAGGGAGCAAGTGTAAGCGGGGCAACACTGGGCACGCTATCGAGAGAAGCTGCTGAGAGCCTTTCGCCTCAGCCCGCCAAACCAAACCCACGATTCTCTCTGCACTCCTTGAGATCAGGTACCCCTCCTCCAGAGGCTCTAGATTACAGTGTGGCAGCGTACAAGGTCACTGGCATCTTGTATCGTCACACCGCAAGATATATTGCCTTTTCATTCGAAGGCTTACAGATGAAGCGGGCACTGACCTGGCCGCTTTGGTATCACAACTGAACAGCGTCGAATTGATGAAAACGATGCAAAATCAGGTCTTCCTTCACTCGCTTGCCGGGCCGTGCCCTGCTGGGGAGCAAGGGGGCCAAGAGTAAGCCACACACGCACGATGAGACGGGAGAAGGGCAACGTGGCAGGACGAGGGGCAGGGGTGGCGCATGGTGATTGTTGCGGTGAGTCAGATCTCCAGCATCGGTTGTATTCTTGCCTCTCTCATCCCATATGGCGCTGCATCTATTTTTCGCCCCTTGGTCCTTCCACAGGGAGGAGTAGGAGCGGGAGCGGCACAGGGGGACTGTCAGTGTTCAGGCGAAACGAGCGGGAGGTCCGGATGGAGCGTGGACAGTGTCTGGCGTTTGTTGTTCGATGCTGTTCTTAGCGAAGGAGGGAGGGGGCGGACGCGGAGGGCCCGGGGATGGGATGATTGTCAGCTCACAGCTATATATCTGGGGATGACCTGGGTAGCACATGGTACCTGGCCATGTTTGATGGCGATTGTGGGGGCTCATAACGCTGCTCGCCAGGCTGCAGCAAACCATGTGGGAGACAGGTGTTTTACCGACGGTGCCTTCACGCAAAACACACCCATATAACCAAACACACATATACTCTCTCACACACACACACGAAGGGAACCAGGTCAATCCAGGTTGGCTGGCATATGCCGTTGTTTCGAGCCGATACAAGATGGGGCCGAGGCTGGCTCGTCTGATGCTTACTAGCGATGCTTGCTCGAGTTAGTTGCCCCGTCGGCCGGCCTGTCTGTCTGCCGGCCGTGACCGTCTACCCTGGTCCCGCTGCATTGATGCACGATGGCGACGATGCGTCGGACGTTCTGGAAAAAGGGGAAGAACGAGCTCTCCAGACGAGGCAGGGCACCTGTAGCAAGGGGGGACGCGGAGCCCCGGAGGAATGCGTCTCAAGGGCCATACCTGTGTACCTAGGTAGGTAGGTAGAGGAAGAGCTCAGGTACAAGCGTCACTAAAATGGAAAAGCATCTCCACTGGGAACGCGTGGTCGGGACTGGCCGCACGCTTGGCTTCTTCCCCTGGTACTGATCCCGGTCATGGTCATGGTCTTGTTCCGTCTGCTCTCCACAGGAAGCTTCTCGTCATTTGGGGTTGCTTGGCCATCCACTGGCCCCTTTTCTCCCACAATCCCAGAGAGAGGGAAAGAGAGAGAGAAATCTCCAAATAAGGTCGCTGTCCGCCCGGGGAGGTCCGAAGGGCGGCGGCTTGCCTGAGGTGATGCGAGGTGCCGAATCTCTCAGACAGTGCTGTCCTTTTTCTCGCTCGCCAGAATCAGTGCGGCACGCCATTGATGATGATCCCCCGTTCGGCCTACTTGCCCTCCCTGTGGAAGGACAGGCTGCATCATGTTTTCGAGGCTGTCCACCCCCCCCCCCCCCCCCCTGGCACGAATCGAGAGACGGCGATCATCATCGTTCAGGCGGCCAGGTTCCCGGGCCCCTTCCCAATTTTCGGCAAGGGGGGGAAAGTCGGGCGTCCATCTTCTCTCGGTCAGGTCGTTCCCCCCTCCCCTCTTACCCGTTCAGAACTCCTCAACCCGACCCGGCTTCCTTTCCCGACGGGAATGGGCGTCCGCCGAGGCTGGATAAGATTGCTTGTTTCCCTCGACATGAGCGCCAAAAAGACACCATCGCGTCGCATCAATCTCGGTCCAGCAGAAAGAAAGAACAAACGGGCCGGGGACCTGGTCCGCAACCGATTCATGTGTTGGACCACGTCTAGGACCTTGACAGCCCAACTGATCCATCCATGCCGAGCCCAAACTGGGCCATTTCATGTCTGTTCGTTTTCCTAACCAGTACAGTGGGAGGGAGGCCAGGCCGGGCCACGCCAAGGCAATGGGAAGAGAAGCAGATCCGGACAGGGAAACGTACAGCCCGATGGAAGGTAA